TGCCATTGCAGCAGAGTTGGAAGCTATTTGTGGTCCCAAAAGAATGAGCTCTTTCTCACACCAGGGATGATGTAGCCACTGATGGTGTTGAATTTCCAACCAGTCGTCAGCAGAAAATAGATACTGAGCCCTTGGTATGGTGCAATTTCTCAGAGAGACCAGTCACTTAGCAGCAAGTTTATTACATCAGACTTCATCCACACTGAAAAGGGCAGGAATTCATTCTGAAAGGCACATATATTCCACACGTGGGCTTGCATCCCCAGCCCACAGTGCCATGGAGCATGGAGTAAAGTTAGTGTATGGTATGAGTGGATCTGAGTCGTGCACTGAACAGTCTGAAGAGGACACTGTCAGTATTCTACCCATATCCCCTTAGACCATTTTACCATGTTCAAGTTCCCAGAGTCCTACGTGTGCTTTTCTTACCAACATCAGGCTTCTGGAATCCACTGCAACTACCTGAATGGGAGAACTAGAAACATTTTGAAATTTCCATCCTTCTGGGGACAGCTCCCTTGCTCCCAGGTCAGAACAGTTCTAAGGTGTGACCTTCTATTTCTGAAGCTCCCTCATGGAATTGATCCAAAGTTATCCTCTGTGGGTCTTTGGTACTTAATACTTTCTGGACCTCTGTCCTCCACATCCTGTCTTTTCATTCCCTTAAAAGTATTCCCAAGAATACTCCCAAATAAATCCCAATCCTTGACTAGGTCACTATAACTGTGGCCCCACACCCACATAGACCTTGGAACATGATAAGTGCTCTAGGTAAACATCTGTCAATCAAGAAATGTTCATTTAAATTTAACAACTACATTCAATAGAACCATGAATGTCCCTTACATTGAATGATCATACAAAAGTGTGATTTGTGGGCACCAGGTCGGGTTTCCTGGCCACACACAAACACACACACACCCCAAAAAAATTCTTTTTCACTATCAATCACAAAGACCCACTTTTGAGACTTCTTTGCATGTCAAATGAGATGTTGGTCTCTGTGGTACTCTACTAAATGCAATGAGTATGAAGAAATACTTTAGATAGAAAGAGAAGTAGGTAGGGCCAAGATAAATGTTAATGTGACAGAGCCCACACTTGAACAAGACATCCTGAGATAAGAGAACTCCCTGAATGAGTAGGTAGATCAAAGGCAATTCTCACTTCCTTTAAAATTCATCTCTGAATCAAATTTTATTTACCAATGGTTGTAGCTTCAACTAGAAACCTCCTGTAGCCTAAAGGATCTCCCAAAAGACTATAAGAAGAGTGTGAACTTCCAAACTACAATGGAACTCAAGAAAAATGTTAGCTTGCACTACACTCCTGAGACAAACCCAGCTAATGAGTTGTTAACAAGTAGATTTTTAGATCTACTCAGGTCTTCTCAAGATACCCTGCAGGACGGACCCTAATCATGTAAGACAATTTCAGCTGCTGAGTATTGCATGTGGTTCCAAAGTCATGTGAGTGCCGTGGCTTTAGATTCCCAAGTCTTGGTTAACAGGAAGCTCTTAACCAGTTTCTGTGCAGCATCCACCTCAAGGAAGAAGCACTAACAGGCATCATACAAGTGAAGAATAGCAAATCCTGCCAGTTCTACCTTCAAATATAAATCCAGAATCTAACCTCTAATCACTTTCCCCACCCACACAATTCAAAGTTGCCACCACTGCTTCCCTGGGTATTTGTAATATGCCTCTCTCCGTGTTTAAACCCTCGACACATAAAAGTCTAATCTCAACACAGCAGCTGGTGTTTTCCTTTAAAATATGTCTGATGATGTCATTACTCAGCTGAAAATCCTCCAATCAATTTTTGGCTCATTCAGAATAAATTCAAAGTACATATTATGGTTTTGAAGTTCTACATAACCAGTTTCCCACCCATCTCCTTGACAGCAGAGACTGGCACTGAGTCATCAATGTCCTTCTCTCCTACATTGTCCTCTTGGCTCAGCTGCCTTAAGCCACATCCACCTCCTTTCTAGTCCTTGGACACAACAGGTATTTTCCTGCTTTTGAGACACTGAACTTGCTCTCCAGGAATGCTCTCCCACTCCCTCCCAGATCTGCATGACTTGATCCCTTACTTTCATTAGTTCTTCCCTGCCCTCCCTAGACAAAATAGCGCCAGGCACAGTGGCACATGCCTGTAATCCCAGTGGCTTAGAAGGCTGAGGCAAGAGGATCTCAAGTTTAAATCCAGCCTCAGTAATTTAGCAAGGCCCTGTCTCAAAACACAAAGAGGGCTAGGGATGTGCCTCAGTCATTAAGCACCTCTGCATTCAATTCCTGATACCAAAAAAAAAAAAAAAAATAGCAACACCCTGCTCACTCAGTATCCTTATCCATCTTCAATCAACACACTTTATTCCCTTTATATCCCTTATCATATTTTATTTATGTGTTTATTGTCTGTCCCATTTCTGTGTCCCTGGTCCTTGGTGCCAGACATATTGTTGGTGTTCCATGCTGAAGGAATTAAAAAAAACTCTAGAAAAATTCCATTGTCTCCATTTAAACATTATTTCCACATGTCCTCCTTTTTGCTATCATTTGCATGCTGAGTAAGTGATTCAGGTTGCAGCAACCCATCCTAGGTACCTCCTCACACTGAAATCCTTCCTTTTCCCCTGTTTCACATTTTTTTCTGCCTTAACCATCAAATATTAACAATCCTCCATGTCCTCAGGGAACTGCCTTTCCCCTCATTTGACTACACTGCCTTGCACATAAAAGCAGCCCAATTACTAGATGTTAAATGACTGGAGGTGGCAGTTTGCCAGCCTATGCTAATGAAAGAGCCCTCCTGTCCCTCCAAGGCAGCGTACACATTTCCACAGGAGCCTCCAGGAGACCTTGCACTAATGCCTTAACGCAAAAGTTATTGTTAAATGATGATGCTACCCAAGCAGGACAAGTTTAGACCCAGGGCAGGTGATTTTGGAAGGAGGACCTTGTGGTACCCCTAAGGTCATTTATAAATACAACTGTCTGAATCACTTATTCAACAAAGGATATGCTATTTGGCTTTTTACTTGTCATGCTAATGGAGATTCTATTTGTGAGAAAAGTAATGAATAAATTCTGCAAAACAGTGGAACTCTAAAAAACATTTGCCCTCTTGTCCTCACATGTACAAAAGCTCACCTTGACCCAAAGAAGGACAAAGGTATATAAACATTTGCATGAAAGAAAGCACATCACATCTGCTGTCTAACCCTTACAGAAGCGCATCCCTCTGCTTACAAGCTTTATATTAGATTAATGCAAAGGCTATTGCAAAATAAAGGATATGTCAGATCAAGGAGGATCCTGATGAAGACAGTTCAGAAATATCCTCAAATGCAAAAGTACACAATACATTAAATTCTAGGGATCTTCTATACAAGACTCTGCCTAGAGTTAATATTGCATAATATGTTTAAAAATTTAGATAGTAAATCCCATGTTGTTTTCTTACATAACAACAAGAGGAACACATGATTGTGGGTCTGCATAGGTATTTAATGGTGGTGTTAATCTGGAGGTATGTTGGTTAGAAATTCTGTAAAAACAAATTTTAAGTACTTTCATTATCACTAAAAGCAACTTTACTAGGGAATGAAAAGTGGATTCTCAATAAATTCTGTGCTTGGTATTGCACTGGGAACTATAAATTCCAGACTGAAAAAAGTATCTAATACATAGAAAATGGGAAGAATAGAGCAAGAATGGCAAGTAACTGCTGAAGAGGGATCTTAAAACTGCTTTGACCTGAAAACATTTCAAAAACAAAACTAGTGATTTATAAACTGAAACCGAGATACAAAAATATATTTGGGTCATCTATTTTCCTGCATCTCTCTGACAACAGTGCCATCTGGAGACTCGGTTGGACCAAGGGTACCAGATCTTACAAAAGCTAGACACAGTCACGGAAAAAGCCACAGACAAAGTCAGTCCATTTCTCTGGTATTCTTATGCAGTTTGTTTCTAGAGTGAAAAAAAAAAAAAAAACAAGTGAAAAATATGAAAACTAAAATTTGTATGTGTGGTGCTGGGTATTTCACTCACGACCTCAAGCATGCTAGGCAGGTGCTCTACCACTGAAATACATCTCCATCCCTTTTCATTTTTTTATTTTGAGACAGGGTCTTGCTAAATTGCCAGGCTGCCCTCAAACTTGCAATCCTCCTGCCTTGGCATCCTGAGTTGCTAGGATTGCAGGTGTGTGCCACTGCCCCGGCAAATACTGAAAATGTTTTATTCTAAATCTGAAAAGTTACAAAAAAGAAAAGAAATAAACATACATATACCTATATGTGGAGATCTATATACTCTCATATATATAGGAAGATGGATGGATGGATGGATGGATGGATAGATGGATGGATAGACAAACAGACTGACTGTGTTGTGTGTGTGTGTGTGTGTGTGTGTGTGTGTGTGGTACTGAGTGTCAAACCCAGTGCCTTGCATATGCTAAGCTTGCACTCTACCTTTGAGCAGTATTCCCAATCCAAATCGATAATATTCTAATGGGAAGTGCAGAGCAGCTAACATGTGGTTTATTAATTCAGAGTTATTATTATTTTAGGAAATTTAAGAAAATAATAGCATACTAAAATCATTAATGAGAATGCCATTTTTCTTAAAATGTTCTTCAATTTTAAATTTGAGATTATAAGTAAATACATGTGCTTCCAATTCCCAAAACAGACAATTCAGATAGGATCAAAAGACCAGAGATGTAGAGAACAAATATAACTCAAGTCTCCCCAAGCCTTCCCACACCTGCTCATACAGACTCTCAGCAGCCTGTCTCTTGTCTTCCCAGTCCCCCTTCCGTCCGTTACAAGTTTGCAGAGAATCTGATGAGCCTCCTGGGTAACATTACCACATCTTCTTGGTGCCCCCATTTCCCTGTGAGCATGATATTACCACTGTGAACAACTCCCAAGAGACAGCTCTTTCTTTGCTAGTGGGCCTTGAAATTCCAACTCTGTTTTCCAGGCATGGCTGCCTTTTTCCAGTAGGTAGCCCTGAACATCACTAACACCAAGAGTGTGGAGCTCTCCAGGTGCAGAACTTGAATAGCAGTTGATAATGAAAAGGATGGTAAAGAGACGTTCACCCTCTTTTTGTGGTACGTGATCCAAGACAGCTATCAAAGTACAATTGTTTTTGCACAGACTTTATAGAAAAGTCCTGTGCCCTGAAGTTCTTTAGTCTCTTATTCAAATAGAACTTCTACTCTCCAAGCTACCTTTATTCTTTCTCACAGAAGAACATGGTTAAACATTTGGGAACTAGTGGGACTAGGGATATAGCTCAGTGATAGGGCACTTGCCTAGCATGTGCAAGGCCCTGGGTTTAATCCCCAGCACTGAAAAATAAAATAAAATAAAATAAGAGTTTGAGGTCTGATCCAGGGAAAAAGGCAATTAATAAATCACACTCATATTGAAGCATTGGGTTTTCGAAGGCCTTTATAGATGTAAACAACACTGAATTCCATACTGCAGCTAAAAGACTGACTTTCTTATGCTACTGTGTTCCAGTTTTAACCTAAGCACTCAAAACACACTGCCTTATAGAGATTTTAGTTAAAAAAAAAAAAACTTTTCAGATATAATGTTTTTTCATTTTTTATTTATTTGTTTATTTGTTTATTTTTTAGCCCCTGTCTGTCCTGGATTTTTCCATTGGCTTGCGGGAATGGCACACAAATTCCAGAGAGACTCAGGTTGTTCTCAACACCACCCAACCCCCATCTTCATCCTCCACTCCCCACTGTGCCCAGTTTCTGTGTTTTATTTCCTCTTCATCCAATAACAGAGATTCTTTTCATTTCTAAACTGTTCCTCAATTTCTTATTAAATATCCTCCTGGCAGTCCCTCCACCAGACCTCTAGATACCACAGGTACTGCCTGAAGGTCAGGTTCACGCTGGGTCCTCAGTGAAACATGATTGATGTATTATGTGAGCCACAGAATCTATTAAGACAAAAAGATGCAATGGATCAAATTCAAAGAGATGATTACAGATTCTGGATACTGTGGGAGCTTTCTGAGAATATAAATCCATGTGGCTTTTATAATAGTCAATCAGATCAAGAGTTTTATCACACAAAATCCAACAGAATTCTTGTAGCCTATCCAAAGGGAGATGAAGAGAAAAAGCAGAGCTAGAAGGAAATTAATATCGGGAAACACAGGTTCTGTTTTCACCGATGCCACTAAGGAGTCCGAACATGAGTGAGTCGCCTAAATACCCTGGTCCTCCTTTATCACATAGAAGGGCTGGGCTGAGAGACTGTCAAGGACCCTTTCAGTGGTAACAATTTATTTCAGTAATAATATAATGGTTCTCTAAGCAACCTGGAAAAGGGGGCTGGTCATAAATAAAAGAAATAGAGCTGCGCCTCAGTTGGTAAGAGGATTGTACTCAGCAGGGGATTTGGGCAAAAGGAGAAGTAGTTTATAGAACTGACAGGAAGAGGTGGGAGGGCAGCAGCCAGCAGGAAGGCACAGGGACTGCCATTTCAAGTGAAAAACTTATATTGATGATGTGAAAACTGGCACACTGTCCAAACAGTGGTATTTCACTCATACAATACATTCAAATCAGATAAAAGCACTTTCTCAGAACTCTAAAATACCATATGTATGTTAAAATTAGCTTCATTGATAACAAGTGTGGGATTTTTTATTTTTTATTTTTTTTTAAGTGCAGCTTACCGATATTCAAGCTCATTTTAAGAAAGAATAAATCTGACTTCACATAGTTTCCTATTTGGTTTAGGACATCCTTTTTTAAAATGTCATCTTGCACTGGATTGCATCTGCAATGGATTTTTCATTTAATCCCAGTGAATGCCAACCCTATCAGCAACTGCCAAAGACAACTCTACTCAGCCTTTTATGTGTGGGACACCAGCAATGTAAGCACAGGAGAATCAACGCTTACAACGAGGTCATATTTTGGAGGTTTTATGAAAAAAATAAAGAAATTCCTTGGGTTTTTGTAAAAGGAAAAGATACGCACACGCACGCACACACCACATTGTCAGTGTTCCTGACAGATATTTTGCTGTTCTTCAAGATATCCAGAGAGATTTCCAGAACCTAAGCAAGAAAAAGTATTTGAAACCGAAGAAAACAAAATCAGTCAAAGAACTGGCAGGGCTGATAATTAGTTGCATATAGGATTGTAAACCTTAAAAAAAGTACAATAAGAGAGGTTTGGGGATTTATAGTAACACATATATAACCATCAAAAACTGGGAAGTCCAGAGACAGTGGTAATTTATGTGGTGAGGTTTGTCTTCACTATTCAGCACTCTATGGTTTAAGAAAAGAAAATTGGGATTCAAATGTGAATTTCATGTTTTGTGGCACCTTATTAAAATTATAATGAAAAATCCATTTCCCCTGCTTGGAACTTCAGCATATAATGAATTACATAAAAGGACAGAGAAGTACAGGGGAGAAAAAGTTCAGTTCAGCGTGATAAAGTAGAAAGAATACCAGTCTGGGAGTCAGAAGACCTGGATTCTATTCCCAGCTCTGCTGCTCACTGGCTGTCTCATTTCGGACAAATCATTTTATTTCTCTGAGTCCTGGCTTTCTCATTTGTAAACTGTGAGGACTGATTCAGATGAATACAATTCTGTGATCACCAATGTCAGATCTTGCAGCACATTCTGTGCCAATAGAGCCACTAAGCAAATTATCAACTACTCTCGCATAATAGGAAACAGCATTTCATTAAATCCACCATCTCCCAGGGGTTCTGAGTTAGACAGAAAAGCCCAAACACTTGGTATATTATGCATCCAGTTGATCACAATTTATCTGTAGAATATCCCCTTTCTGACATTTAAGAAAGGTCAAAATTCTCAAAAGCTTAATAGGAATGTTAATGTCCTTTAAAATAGTATGGCCACTTGGTTATGTTGAATCATTCAAAGGTCCCTGGGACCATGCAAAGTGAATGACAATGACCTTCTACATCCACTCTAGACTTGTCCAGAGAATGAAGGTAGGGGAAAGGGAACAATACTATTAATCTTTCAAGAATTTATATGGTCACCACTAGTAATATATCTAATGCTCTGTTCCTATTTTCTTTACCTTTCTATGGATGTCCTGATGTGCAATTTTATTATATTGAAAGATTTATGTGCAGCATTTCAGTAGTTTCCTACTCAGGTGGTAAGATGCAGCGTAATTATGATAAGCACCAGCTAGCATGGCACCTGCCTGGAACGTTACAAATAGAAAAGGAAACACATGCAATTAGCCATTTACCCACACAAAGTGAGCACTGGAATAATGTACACTTTTACTTTCAGGAGGTTTTGAATTCTTGTTTTAGAAAGAATAATTATTCAGCCTCTTTATCCAGATTCCCATTTGTTTCACAGAGGGCTATGATGATACTCTTCCATTTAGAAATATAGAGAATCAAACATCAGGTATTCTACTAGATCACAACTAGCAAAAAAAAAAAAAAAAGGTTTTTGCAATTAGTAATAAAAGAATTTTAGAAGTTATTGCACAATTTTCATATTCCAAATGTGGTTGTAGACCACTGATATTTAGAGAAATTTAAATCCTCCTTTCTTACTCTTGACCCTATCGTCATTCTCACTTCATAACAAGTAAATCAAAGCCAACTGATCTTATATTGCTATCTAGACTCTGAGAAGAAATCACTGAAGCAACAAATTAGTTACTTAATGCAGATAAATATAAATGAACTTCAACTTTATCATTATTGAAATGCTAAGAATTAAAGGTTTTCACATTCACAACCCTCTTACAAATCATCAATGAAAGATATTTAACGTATAAAACATTTTTTACAGGCAACAGATTAAGGGGGGCAGGGCAAGAGTGGGCCAAAGTAACAGATTCTCATTCCAATGAATTACACTGAAGTTGTGCTACATTCCTGCTATCGAACTCTTCCAAGCTAGTGTGCCTTCTTCCTTAACACATATATGTAGTTAATTAGTTAGATACTATATTAGAAACAAATGCAAATTGAGAACTGAGGATGTTTTCAGTTGTTCACTCACATAGTTGAGAACCAGGAAGCCTAGATTGACAACCTAGTTTAGAACTTAAAAACTAAGGACCTTGGAACAAGACTACTCAGATTTTAATTTGGCTCCACTGCTTATGAGCATAATCATTTTGGCGAGTTTAGGAAAATCTTTGTATCTCTGTTACCTCATCTATAACATAGGGATAAAAGTACCTGGTAATGTGGACTTGAGTGTGAAAGGTCACTGAGTGAGTGAGCATATGTAAAATTATTAGAAAAATGCCAAGAGCACAGTAAGTGATTAATAATGGTTGGATAGTGTCATTTATTATGATAACAAAATTGCACTACTTAAAGACTCAGCAGTTCCAAATCACCGCAGCATGCAGCCAGCTCATGGCTTTGAGAATGTCAAGGAAGTTGGAAACACAGCTGGTGTGAGTTCTGGTAACTTAAATTGCTGGTTTTCTCTTCCTGCTGCCACCATATTAAGGTAAGTTTTAGAGGAGCAGAGTGGCCACTGGCCTACAAACTATCCAGCCTGGGAATTTTTTCCTAATTTAAGTCTGTACAATGCTAAGATCAAGAAGAAATGTTTTTAAAAAATGACCAATCTTAAAACTTGCAGGTCTATTTTTTTCATGGAAAACAGATGAATTTTTAATTAACCCCAATGCTTATTATCATGCAGTTTCACAGTGAAAAATATCCGTATCCATTAAATAATAAAAATTAAATACTATGTGCATGAATATTTAATTACTAGGGATAATGATACATCCTACAAAGTATTCTAAATGCCTGGGTTGCAACGCACTATAGAATGGCTCATGCCAGAAAGAATTATTGGCCAAAAAAATACATTTCCTATTAACTGACTCGCACCTTAATATTAGAATTATTTAATTTTTGCATCAAATACTAAAGTTATTAAGCAATAGCAAACCATTTCATTTGGAATTCAACATCAAAAACTACGATGCTTAGAAAAGAGGGAGGCATTTAAAGAAAGGTGATCCACAGTGATGGAGATTATGATGGAAAAAAATAATCAAACCCAGTTGAGCTTGTTTATTTATTTTCAGGCCAAAATTCTCTTTACTCCTTTTCCTGTATTTTTACTTTCTCTGCAAACAAGATATTAAACTCAGTTAAATGGAACAGAATAATGATTCCCATGTTTCCCGCAAACCTTACTATTACCCAGTTTTATTAGCCCACATTTTTTATTTGAGCCTTTGGGGGAAAAGTGATTCAAAAGAGTTCATGAATGACCTCTGAGTTCAGAACTATTGTGAGAAAACAAGTCCTGCTCCTTATCTCAGAAAGTCTGACCTCTAAAACTTCCACTGCAATATATGTCCCTGGAGGGGGCCCTTGAAACTCCCAAAGGCTCTTCCCCATCCCAACAGCCAATATCAACAAGAAACATTGACCTTTTCAACACAGTGTTATTCAACTTTTCTTCAGAGCTGTCAACAATCCTGTACTGAGATTCTGACCATTTTTAAGTAACCTATTTTTCTCCGATTGCTGAATCAAATTGTGAGTGAAATTGTATTGAAGTTTGATGTGTTCTTGTTACCCACGTATCATTTAAATGCTGTTCTATGTAATTCATATATTGTTCATGAAAGTTTACTGAAAACATTTGGAGAGAGAAAATATTTTCCATTTTTAGGACTATGGAATTGTTTTATTTTTAATGAAGCAATGAGTATTAGGAGTGTTTTTCTTCTTTAATAAATCCCTCCCCAGAGTCCTAAAAATAAAGATAAACAGGTAAAAATGTAGTTTTTTTAGTGTTTTTTTAACAATATCTTTATTTTTTTTTTAATTTTTATGTGGTGCTGAGGATCGAACCCAGTGCCTCATGCATGGTAGGCAAGGACTCTACCTCTTAGCCACAACCCCAGCCCCAAGTTGTTTAGTTTTTTAATTTTATTTACTAAGCCAATTATATCAGTGGATTAAGCACTCTGCAGTTGGTTGAGTATTTGAGAAAACTAAATTAACTTCTTTATGTCATCAAATGTAATTTGCTGTACCAAGGCTGAAATTTCATAAGTAGTCCCTTATTGATCTGAAAAAAAAAAACTCATACAAACATCAAAAACTCAAAGGAAATAAATTCCTATTGTGTTCCTTCACAAGCACTTAAATTACATTCCCACAAGGAGATTCCCACTCACAAGGCTCTTGCCTTTCTATACAGAGATGGTCCTCTAAATTAAAGTTATATTTTAAGCCAATAAAGGCTAAATGTGGGATCAAATGATAGCTAATATTCCATGTAATGTCAAGCAGCGTGATAATATTTTTACATGTATTAACTCGCTTAATTTTTAATGCCCAATAAGGACAGGCAAACATGAATACCATTCTACAGAAGAGGAACTGAGAACAAAGAAAAATTAATTAACATGTCCCAAATTACACCTGGTGAGGGTCAGACACAGTGGATGCCAGAGTCTTTCTCTTGACCACTGTGCCATTTGGTAGTAACCAGTGCTATTCTACAAATACTGAAGTTAGGCAAGGGTGGCCATGTAACTTCCTGTGGCCAATGCTATATGAGTAGCAGTGATGTGTGATTTCCAGAGGAGACTTTAGGAGCCAGGGCATAATTCACCACTGCACTGATCATGGATGTGTATATAAAGTAAGGCTTCCATTGACAGGACCCCTGAGTAGTGACAATGAGCAGAAACTCCCCACAAATCAGCGCTGGATGTGAACTTTAGGGGAGAATTAAAGATTTGTTACACTAAACCTACTGAGGATTTGGGGTTATTTATTACTATTATAAAACTAGCTCATTCTGACATAGACATACAGTTTCCACATTGTAAGGGTTCATTCATAGTCACTTAATTCAGTTTTGGAGGGGATCCAGGAGGAGCACAATTTATCTGGGTGAAGGCAGGTCACAGGGAGAGAAAAAAGTAAAAGCAGTGGCCCAAAAACAAAAAACAAAAATGCATAAAGCTTTTGGCAGTTTCAAGATACTGAGAGACTGTCACATGTACATTGGGATAAATCCAGAAAATGTATAATTATTCACATAAGATTTGATTTGCTTGAGGATTGACTTTTTTATAATCCATTTTTAAAAGTCATGGTAAATAAAGAGTTCTGGTTAGCCTATATATTTAGGGACATCAAAAAATAAATTTCACTAAGACAAATGTTGCAGGCTTAATTCTGTTTCATTGTTATCCAGAATTATGATTTTTTTTTATTCAGAATGGTTCTAACTAGTCATATAGGTTGTGAGTGGCTGAGATCAACTAGCAGCATCTTCTGATTACCAGTATTTCTTGCATTTTTCCCTTTCCACTTTTTTATTTTTATTATAAAATTGTAAGTAAGCAGGAGAGTCACATATTGTTAAACATGAGCAAAATTTCTCAACAATCCATCACCAGTAAACTTAGACTTCCAAGCGGTGGAGCAATTCTCATTTAGAAAGCCTTTTGGAATTATTTGCCATCTCTTGTTAACAGACAATGGCATTATGAAATTGCCTTAATTTATTTCTAAATTCAGTTATAATATTATACCTTTTAATGATTATCCTTTTTGTCTAGGTAAAAATAGACCTTGGCTACTCATTTTTCATGCATTGAGACAAACATTTCTTTCTCAGTTACTAGAAACCCTCTATGAATTATTTAGAAAACTTTGCCAAGGTAAACTACCTCCTCTAAACAAACATTGCTTTTAAATGGGGTCACTTGTGGCAAATTGCTTCGGAAAGATGTGATAGACATGCGTGTTTACATCAAAAGGGCAGATGTAGTGTAAGTGCAATGAAAGGCAGCGAAATCTCCTTATTCAGCAGTAAACTCAGGAGGCAGAAAGTTTTGTTGAAATCTAAGTTTGGGTCAGAATCTAAGTCTATCTCTAACTCCCTTATGTGCAAATCCAGTTTTGTAATTGCCTGTCCTCTGGTATTGCCCTCCTAGAGAAATGGAGAATTGATGAGATATTGATGGAAGTTCTGCAAAGATGAAGAAAAGGTGTCAAAAAAAAAAAAAGAGTAGGGGAAGTTTCTATGAATATAGATTCTCGCCCCATGGGTTTCTTGAGAATATCACTTACCCTCCTAGATAATGGAAAACCCTTAGGTATTCATATATTTTCCCTGCATGTGGCCTGCGCTAGTATTCATCTCCCTTCCCTTTACATCTCTCCCCTAGTCATGCACATAAATACACCACCTTTTGCATTCTGCACATTACAAAATAATTTTATTCAATCAAACCTCCTTTAAGAAAACTTCTTCAAACAATCTCTAATGCCCATCTGGTCATGCTGTTTGTCTAGAGCCAATACAACCCATTTTTCATCACCTTGACAGATTCTCTGGTTTCAGTTAACTTTTTTCTCTGTCAGCATTTCTCTTCATGCATGCATGAACACTGGCCAAGTTCATAGAAACTATGAATGCACCTTATATATAGCAGCCTTCAATTCTTTCTTGGAAGTGGGCTTAATATAAGCTAATTTAAAATGCTCATGTCTCTTGATACACAGGGTGAAATAATCCATTTCTGGTCATTCTACTTATCCAGTCTCTGAAGGCACATTGCTATGAAAAACAAAGCAGAAATAACATGTACTCCACTTCTTTGCATCTCAGAAGAGAGAATAAATCGAATAAGACGTCTTCCATTGTAAGAAAAAAGTAAGCCACATATCTTTACTGCTAAATTCTAAGATTTGAAAATGTTTCTCCAAAGAAAAGCCTTTCCCTAATTACCCTGTCCTTTCCTGCCCTGCTCCTTCCCCATAAGACTAACTGATCACCTTACTCAATTTTATAGATTGCATCACCCTGGATGGCTGGGTCTTGCCAACTGACTTCTACTTGGGCTCAATCTACAGGACTTACTGACAAAAAATTATAAAGCAGGAGGAAAAAGAGGTTGTGATGCTTCATCCCTATGTTTGCCCACTTTAGGCCTCCTTTTTGGCAATGACTGCATCCTTTTATGAGCTCAGCTCCTGTCTATCTCTTTCTCCTTGCCTACAGATCTCACTGGGGTCCTATTGACACTATCTCCTCCCCTTGCTCATTCAGAACTAAAGATGCTAATTGCTTCCCACAGTTGTGCTTGTCTAGGTATCTCAGCACTCCTTGTTACTCCCCTTAAACTCCCTTCACCCACACACACACACATCTTTGAGTGAAGTATTTGCTTCATCAAAATATCTTGCATCATTTGAATTGAAGTTTTCTTTTCTATAGAAACTCTAGATAATATAATCAACATAACTTGTTATTATATGAATTATGAATGTCGCTCCAGTAGAAGCTAGTGTTGAGCAATTAACACAAAGTAATGAAGCAAAGCCACTGTCTCTCAAAGAGATGTTTTGTAGACCCATGTTCCTAAGTACCATTATTCACAGCTAAAATGCAAGAGCAACTCAGATGTCCATTGACAAATACATAAGCAAAACATTTTACATAAAATGGAATACTATTCAGTTTCAAAAAGGAAAGAAATACTACATAAACTACAATAGAGATGAACCTTGAAGACATTGTGCTAAGAGAAATAAACCACTTGGAAAACAAGCAGTCTGATTTTCCTTTTATGAGGTATTTAGACTAGTCAAAAATCATTGAGAAAAAAAGGTAAAATGGTTTTTGAGATGGTTTAGGGAACAGGGGAATTGGCAGTTATTGTTTAATGGGTTCAGAGTTTCACTTTTGCAAGATGAAAAGAGTTCTGGAGATGAGTGGTACTGATAGTTACACAACAATGTGAATTTACGTAATACCACTGAGCTGTACACTTAAAATGCTGAAGATAGCAAAGTGTATGTTAAGTGTATTTTAGTATAATTTTTTTTAATTGGGGGAAAATGCCTCCTGTCATATTGCAGAAAAATACTTTCTGTTCTTATATTCAAGAAAGTATGTTTCATTTGTCTAAGAGCCTAGAAAAATCAGAGAAGCATATTCTAAAAAGTTTAATAAAAACTGCTAAATTTGTAAGTCAAAGGTCTTTAATAAGGATGGTAATCTGTAATCTATTTTTTCACAGCACAGTCTAGAAATAGAGCAATGAATAGAAAGTTTCATATTAGTCTTATCTAACCTATAAAAATCTAAAAGTTTTTTTTAAGCAGAAACTCTTTAGAAACTTAAATTTCCAATTTCTCAGTAACAGATCATAGAGGAATGGAATCTACCTATAATTCTAGGCTTTATCAGCACTTAAGCAATACATACAATTGCCTCTATCTAAAATGCACCAATAGACATCTCTTCCCAAAGGTCAATCTTATGTCAATCACAGTCATCATGGATAAGCTATAAATGTTGTCTCAAATGAATCCCTGAGTGAGTACAGACCAACCAAATCACAAAATCTTCCTGTGTACTTTGACTAGAGAGTTCCTCACAGAAAGACACTGAACACAAATATTAGTTTTTTAAAAAAAAAAATCTACTTCACAAGTACATGAGCTTCCAGTTAAAATGTTTCCTTTTTATTTAACAATGATGCTTTGTTGAGCTTTATCTTTGTTTTATCTAAAACAAAATATAATAAATTTTTGAAAAGTATCAGTGTAAAAGTCAGTACACTTTAAAGATAAATATGTAAGCAAATGCATTTTATATATTTTACTTCATTCTTGACTAACATTTATTAATTGTACACATTAATAGGTTTCATATTGATATTCCTACTTATGCATACTTCATGCATTGTTCAAATCCATCATCCCTTTAACCCACCCTGACCTCTAGTAATCATTATTTTACAGATTGACTTTTTTAAATCTTCCATACATATGTGATACTTGTCTTTTGGTATCTAGCTTATTTCACATAACCTAATGTCATCCAATTCCATCCACTTTGCTCAAAAGACAGAGTTTCATTCTTCTATGTGGCAAATAGCATTCCATCATGTGTATGTGTGTGTGAGTGTGAGTGTGTGTGTGTGTGTATCTGTGTGTGTGTGTGTGTGTGTGTGTACTAATCGACAGGCACCTAGGTTGATTCCATATCTTAGTTATTATAATAGTGATAAAATAAACATGTGCCTGCACCATCTCTTTACTATGGTGACTTCATTTCCTTTGGATATATACCCAGAAGCAAGATAGCCGGATCACAAACTAGATAATAATCAGTCAAAGGAATAAAAGATGATCCAATAGTCCTCTTTTGTGTTTAAAAAGTGCATTTGTTGCTACTCATTCTTTTGACTAAAGTTCTTTCTTACGTGGGGAAATGTTGATATTTTGAGTCTTAGAAGACTTAGAATCCCACCTGTGAACAGTGAAGATTTTCAAGTACTTCCCCAACTTCCCTTGTGAGTGAGTCAATGTGTCCTGGATTCTACCAAACAGACTCATCAGCTTGGCATTTTGATTTAAAAAAAAAAAAACTGGTGGCACAAGGAATTAGGAGATGAAGGAAGAATCTATGCCATGGACAGTGTTTGGAACAGTCAAAACCCTGGGCAAGAGGAGAAAACTATTAAATGTAACCAAGGTACCTTCATGAGAAAGGAAATTTGGCAGACACAGAACCAAGAACCCAGAGAGCAGATGCAAACACAATGAAAAATTATTTCATGTCGTAAGACCTGATTAATCTTAAAGCATTTGCTTCACTTAATTCCAGAATTCCATCGAGCAATGACTCCCTTGTGCTTTTCACTTTCCCCTTTCTTTAAGCAGAAATGTTTATAACAGAGAGATTAAGTCTGTTCCACCATTGTACATTAGATGTGGAGAGTGAGGGACAGTTTGTTTCTTTAAACTCACAGGTATAGATTGCAAAGATATGTGTTTTTACTTACAGAAAGACAGCTGATAAGTCCATTCTACACCCAGATATGAGTTTATAAGATCCTGGAATTTGACCTGATGCTATAAGGAGATAAAACCCTGGGTGATATTGATTGGGAGTCGAGGATTTTGCATGTAGGATGATAGATGTGAATTACACTGGGGATCCAGAGAATAAACTATAAAAGGAAGCTTCTAAGATGACTCCTAATGATGGCTACTTTCTGATATTCAGGTCCTGGGTTAGTGTGAGCTAAACTTACTGATCCTCAGACATATGAGATGATACTAAATTAGAAAAAGACTCGGGATGGGATTCCAACTCACCCTTGCTCCTTCTGAGAGAAACTAGATACCATATCTGGCTGCCTCATGGAGAGACTCACCAGGTCAAGACTGGAGGGAGGTCTTCAGCCACCATCCAAAAAAGAAGACCGTCTGTCCAACAGCCCACAAGAAGCTTGATTTCTCCAAGAGCCACCTGAATGAACTTGAAATCAGTTCCTCTTCTAAATGAGCCTCCAGGTGAAATCACAGCACCAGACAAAAGCTTTACCTGCAACTTCATGGGAGACCTTGAGCCAGTGATAGCCAACCAAGATGCATTCACATTCCTGACCCAGAGAAATGGTGAGAAAACGGTTGTCAAAGAAAGCATTTCAGTATGGGAGTAATTTGCTACACAGTAAAAGATAGCTAATATGCATCTCTAAAAAGTTTGATACAGTCTATTTCATTAGATAATGTTTAGAAATGAAAATAATCAAGGAAATAGCATTATTTGCTGATTATTTAGAAATATGTAGGGAAAGAGTTGGAAGTGGATGACTCTATATCTCAGGACAAGGGAGTAGAAAGGAGTGAAACAAAATCTGCTGCCTTTTCATAAAACTGAGTTGCAAAGGTCTTGCCTAGGACTTCTAAAAACCTCTTCCTGAAAATCCCTTCTCTCAGGCTTTTGAAGAGCCATGGCTTCATTTTAAGATCTCAAAATTGCATTGCATTATGTAGTATTAGCAGCATTTCCAAATGCATTACCTCTGAAATTCTCTCATTTCCTTCAATAGAAGGTAAAAAGAGCACAGAATTTGACATTGTCCCAAAAGCAGAAGAAAAAGATTTGCCAAGGAAAAGATTCCACAACTCTTTGATAAGAAATTGATTTACATGGAGTCAAATACTAAATATTAAAACTATTTGAGTGGTCTGACAATGAATTTGTAAAGAAAAAATATGGAACAAGTATGTAAACTCAGGAAAGTGGCATTTATAAACTAAAACTTAAAAAAAATAAATCAATGTAATTTAATGCTGAACTGATGGAGTCTTGCTTGATTTAACTGCTTTCATTAAAAACTCATATAGATTTCTTTGCTTTTTCCTTTTGAACAACAGCTCACATCTATAACCATGTCAAAAACACAGAAATCAAAAGAAATGGCAAGGCCCAGAAGACCAGGTAAAATTCTAAAATTTGAAGGAATTAAATTTAAGCTCTACCACTGACCTTATTGGGGTTGCATGAACTTACTTAAGCTAATTAAAAACTATCCAGGGAGTAAAAATAAAAATAATCGCCTACTTCGTAGGGCTATGTTAGAAGTAACAAATAAAATGGATCATAAAGCACTTAACCAAATAGAACCAAAAGTCTTAGAACTATATGCTATGCTAACAATATTTTGGTGTCCTCATTTAACCCTAGAAAATGAAAATCACTGAATATAGACCTAAGAGCAAAGAGGTGGAAAACACCAGCTGACAGTTTCCAAAGCAAATCTCTCTTCTTGAAAAAGTGTCAAAGATTTACCACTCAAATACAATTAAAATGAAAAAAAGTTTCCGAGACTGACGGATAGCAAGTAATGAAAAAAAAAAAAAAAAAAAAACTACAATACCTCCCATCTGTACCATCTGTTGAAGCCTAACTGTATGCCAGGCATCTGCATGTTACTTCTATTATTTACTTATCACAACATTTCCACTAATTGAGTGTATCTACGCCTACCTTATAAAAGGGCACTTCATAATAAATAGGCCCCACAATAAAAAGCTGAGCTGATATCCAAACAATTTTTTTAGTCCAAAAATTTCATATTCAAGTACAGCCCCAGGAATATAAGTCCTCCACGCATTTGTCAATTGCAAAACTTTTTCCAGCAAGGGTAAGTAACTTGGGCGAATTAGCTCCTACTGGCAAGGAAAATCTCCATAGAAATGTCCTCAACATCAATCCTCCTAGCAACTGGGGAACAAGTGCCTCAGTCCTGTAAAATCCAGCTGAGAAGCTCACCAGAGCATCCACTAAAGTCTGCCCTTTCTACCAGTTAGCTCTATTTACACCATACAGTCAGTTCACCCCACCTGGAAAGAAGTCATTCAGAATTCGAATTGGTCTTTTTTTTTCCCCTGGGAACTTACTAAAGAGTAAATTAGAACAACCAATGCCGCCAATGTTGAGACAAAAACTAGGATCCATCTTCTTCCTTGTCTACTGCTTATCTCACAGCTCTGTGATCTGAGAAGCTTATTTCTTGGGGCAGTCTGAACCCTCATCCCTGAGGAATCTGAGCCCCTAGACACCAGGCCATTTTCAGTTCATGGTTTCAGAACTTGCACAACTATCCTGAAAACTGAGCAGGGGCATATCAAGAGATGCCTCAGTGGATCATCTTGAGTGTTAGATATTTTCTTTCTTGTTGCTGTCAGAAAACAGCCTCTCTACCTCATCTTAATGATCAAGGCCAACTTCCCTTTCTTGTCTACTGGCCTCTTAAAGCTGGAAGTCCAAAGAGACCAGGTGGCAGCTCTAGCTAAAATTTAGAGTTCTTTATGTGTCCCCTGATGGAAATGTTCAATAGCTAAAATATCAGAAGTAGGAGTCACAGATGATCCAAGTGAATCACTGAGAGTTATCATAAACAGGATGATCTCTATTTCCCAGACTAGTCATGTACTAATATATATAGACACACTGGAGAACAGTGCCTTGTCCTCAAAGGACTTCATCTTCAAACTGGCACCTGAGCTGAGGCTTCAACATTTCATTCCATCACTCTATTGGACCAGGACATTCTATGTAGCAAGATATGTTAAAGGACAATAGGATCCCATGGTCATGTGACCACTGTCGATCTTTTTTACCATAAAGTGGGTCCTTTGATCTGAGATGATACAATATGGGGTACCATATTGATATATCAAACATTGTATTAGCCCTAATTTATGGATGTCCTGCAAAAAAGAAAAACAAATTCATACTTAGATAATGTCATCTCCAATAAAGATGAACAGTTTTCCTTTTCACAGTAGAAAGATGTAATCAACCTGGTGTCAAATGGGTTATTGGTCTTCTAAGGAGACAGAGCCATACTGGGGGCTCAGCGTTGATTTGGATGGCTAGCATATTGAACTTTCAGCAGCAACCGTAGCTAGATGGACCTCTGTGAGTTGAAGCCCATGCTTTGGGCCCATGAATAGCTTCCACCTCTGTCACAATAACTATTTTATTGATAATAACTATTTATTTTATTGTAGGCTTCCTTGTGCCTTCTGACCAGCATTTGGGAAGTGACACAAGATATCTGATACTAACTGTCAGGTCATTCCATCCATTTGGTTGTTACTATATCTTCTGTAGTGATGTTCTCTAGCAGGCACTAGCATAGATGCAAAGATCTTCATACTTTGTATCTATTTCCACATGCTCAGACCTCCTTGTTCCTGATTTTCCAGCCTTTCTCCTTTGTAGTCCCTGCTTAAAGAGTAAGTCAGATGGAAAGATCTCCCTTGTTCTTGGATAGGCAGAATTAATATTGTCTAAATGACCATACTACCAAAAGCACTACACAGATTTAATGCAATTCCAATAAAAATTCTGTGACATTTCTCACAGAAATAGAAAAAGCAGTCATGAAATTCATCTGGAAAAATAAGAGACCCAGAATAGCCAAAGCAATCCTTAGCAAGAAGAGTGAAGCTGGTGGCATCACAATACCAGAACTTAAACTATATCGCAGAGCAATAGAGACAAAAACTGCATGGTATTGGTACCAAAATAGACTTGTAGACCAATGGTACAGAAAAGAGAACACAGAAACAAACCCACATAAATACATTCATCTCATACTAGACAAAGGCACCAAAAACATATATTGGAGAAAAGATAGCCTCTTCAACAAATGGTGCTGGGAAAACTGGAAATCCACATGCAACAAAATGAAATTAAGCCCCTATCTCTCACTATGCAAAAAATCCAACTAAAAGTGGATCAAAGACCTAGGAATTAAACCAGAGACCCTTGCGCCTAATAGAAGAAAAAGTGGGCCTAAATCTTC